AGTACATATCAAAAATAGATCCTTTTGTCAAATTATACGTCAAGTTGAAAACATGCTATAATGAATCAGGTTCAAAGTGAATGAGGATTATACGTGGTCAACCTTGTAAGACATCCTGCAGACTCGTGCAATCAATGTGGAGATTCCTCAAAAAGCTAGGATGAGAGCTCCCATTCAACCAAACAATTCTCCTTCTGGTTATCTTCCCAGAAATACTGAGCACATCAAACCACAGGGTACATATGGTCCCATGTTTATAGCAGCACAATTTGTAATAGGTAAATCTTGGAAGTAACACAAATGTCCATCCACTGAGGAATGAATAAAAAGATTTTATACAATGGAGTACTCTACAGTCATAAAGGAGGATAAACTAGAAACTTATACTGGTAAATGGATGCAAGTTGAGACCATATTCATAAGTGAAATAAACCGCACTCACATGTGTAAACACCATATTGTCTCCCTGGTGTGAGAAACTGCAAGAGTAATTAGGGTTTAAAGTGTACAACAGATACTGTGAAATGAGAAGAAATTGTTGAAAAGGAAAAAGGAACTAAGATGGGGGGAAAGAGGAAAGGATGGAAGAGAAAAGGGGAAAAATACAAGGTATTTAGACTGTTAGTGTCTCTTAGTTCACTGAAAGTTTCAGTCAATATCAACCGGAAAAATTTTAACACCCATATGTTAAGTGCTGAATAACTATTTTAAAGGTAACCACATGCAATATATTAACTTCTTTTATTACATTATTCTTTATGAAAACTTGTCTTACCTTTTTTCTATAAAGTAAAAAATAAAATTCATATAAAGAGAAAAAATAAAATTAAGTTTAAAAATCTTTCTAACTAAAAGGAAGAAAAAACAGCAAATGAGTTTTAAATTTATTGAGATTATATCTGGTTATCTTTTCAAGATATCCTACAATTCATAATTTATTAAGCACATCTCATTTGATTAAAAATTGTTTTTAAAAAAGTGATCTAAGTGATCTAATCGGTTAATAGCAGTGGCTTATCAGGTCATTAATAGGTTTGTTTACGCAGTTTAATATAACTAGTTTTAAGAGGTGCTAAAAGGCTTGTTTTTTCCTCTGATGTAGAAACTTCTCGTTTCACTCTCTACACTTTGATTGAATTAACAACTGAAAGAGATATTTAAAAATCATTTTTCCCAGAAAATTCTGTATAAAGATAAAAAATAAAAGATTTTTCAGCTTTCCCATCTCAAGTCTGTGACATGTCCTTTTGTAGATTTATAATGTTCATAGTCTATGTGTGACACAGTTTGGGACACACTTTATTATAACATGAAAGTCATGTTTTTCTTATTATTTCATCATACATTTTGACAGTACAGATCAAGTAAAACATTTTTAATTAGACTGTGTATTCTAAATACATTTTTAAAAATTAATACACATAGAATGGCAATATCTTTCTTTTAAAAATAACAATGCTTTGAGTATGGATCTGTTCTTAAAAAATATAGAAAAAAAGTACAGAAAGAAGTTTTAAATTTCCCAAATACTTTGTAGTATGTTCTAGTTTTGTTAGAATTATATTTTTGAGGTCCCATTCAACCCAGCTATTCCACTTCAGGGTGTCTTCCCAAAACAATTAAAAACATCATACCACAATGATAGTAAAAGTGGCTTTTAAATCTTTGAGGAAACTAAAAGCAAATCATCCATGTAATAAGCAGCAGTGAAATTCATAGCCAGGTCTGCCTATTTCCCATCCCTAGGATGCCTGCTGTCATGACTGCATCAAGATTGATGTCCTCAGGGGCTGGAGATTTAGCTCAGCGGCATAAGTACCTGCCTTGTAAGCAGGCAGTCATGAGTTTGATCCCCAGTACCGATAAAAACGAAAAAGACAAAAAAAAAAAAAAAAAAAAAAAAAAGATTGATGTCCTCTAAAATTATCACAGGGTCACTTTCTTAAAGAAGAGTGAATTACTAAGACTGGCATCTTCTACTTGAGTATTCCACTCAACAGGCACTGATTTGGACATCAGCCATCCCCATTGGCTTATAATTCAGAAGTGAAAATACTTGTTTCTGTTTATTAGATGTTAACTAACGTAAGTCCATTTGAAAGCTTTCTATCTACATTTATGGAAAGGAATAGACAGTTTTGTTTCATGCACTAACTTGTGTCTGGGTAAAGGCATAGCCATGCTGTACTTTTCCCTAATATCCTGAAATATTTGGTCATATGTTTATATAAGTAATAACTTTCACAACCCTAAAATGAAGCCAAGAGGAATCTGGTTGGTGATTTCTCCCTGCAGTTTTTGGAAATTTTGACATCTTTTGAGATACTCAATTTTTAATACCCATGACCAATAAAAGTTCTTTTATAGTCTTGTAAGTCAATTCACTTATGAGCATTTTTATTATCCAGGATAATTTGCTTTTAGAGCCAGTGAGAAAGGCCCACCATTCACACATCCAAAGTAAAAGACTGAGAGATGTGAAGCACAACACAAGTGAAACTTTGATCACGCTTCTGCAAAATGGCTTTCTGACCAAAGTCAAGCAGTACTCATCAAAACTTCGAGTAACTCTTCTGGCCCCAGCTTCCAAGCTCCCTCCCTCCTCTCTACATTGACTGAAATCAGAGAGGTGCTATCTTCTCAACTGCCATCTTAGTGTTTGGATAAACCCACACTTCTCTGTGTATCCCTTTGTTTGTGAAATGTCATTTGCTTTTCAATTATCTAGTTTTAAAACTTTGTTCTGGGGGACAACCTGCTCGGGATGCCCTTCTGTTTTTCTTCAGACAAAAACTTTCTCTCTCTCTCTCACTAAATATATTCTACTTTTCACCTCCGTTGTTCCTAAAATACATTCTTCAGTTTTAGAGAACACGAACTGCGGACATAAGAGGTCGGGAGTCTCGTTCTCCTATATCATTGGGAGGTCTTCCACCGAGATCACTGGACGGAGTCCTACTATAGTTTATTGTTTATACTTAAAAATATTTACAACAATTCTTTTCTATAAATTGTTTTGAAAAATAAAAAAATAACTTTGTTCTAGGATTGCAGGGCTTAATTCTAAAACTGCTATGCATATTTCATGGGATCCCAATCATTATAACAATAGCATACCACACAGAAGTAGAGAGAACAATTCTAAAATCTGTATGCCAAAACCAAAGAAACTTAGAACAGCAGAATCCACTTTGGATAACAGTGGAAAGGTACAAGGTGTTAACAGTCTGTTGTTTGGAGTGAAGAGACAACCCACAACGTGGGAGAAAATGTTTGCCAGCTGTACCTTAGACACAAGATTACTGTCGAGAACATATAAAGAGTTCAAAAAAATCATTCCTCCAAGATTTAAAGAGCTAATCCAAAAATGGGTATCTGATAAGAATACATACTTCTCAGATGATGAAATACAAACAGCAAATAAATATGTGAAAAAAATGTTCAACATCGTTGGTCATTCAAGAGATGCGAATTAAACCAACTCTGAGATTCCACTTTACCTCAGAAAGAACGGCTATTATTAAGAGATCAAGCAGTAACAAATGCTGAAGGAGCTGTAGGTAAAAAGGAACACTTCTCCATTGTTAGTAGGAATGCAGACTGGTACAACCACTGTGGAAATCAGTGTGGAGATTCTTAAAAAAAAAAAAAAAAAATAAGACCAGAAGTCTAATCCGACCCAGCTGTTCCCCTTGTAGACAGCTTCCCAAAAGAATTAAAAACATCATATCACAGCAATATATGTGTGCCCATGTTTAAGACACCACAATTTGTAACAGTTAGACCTTAGCCCATCGACTGAGAAACGGATTAAAAAAAAAAAGTGGTATTTTTATACAACAAAGTACTACTCAGCCATAAAGAAGGACAAACTGAAGACTTCCATAGGTAAATGTATGGAACTTGAGAATGTATTTATAAGTGAAATAAATAAGACACACATATGTAAACATTTACATTGTCTCACTAGTGTAAAAAGCTGAAAGAAACATGTACATGTGCATATATATATATTATACTTAAGATAGTTATACTACTGATTTATCTGAGTACACTGAAGAGAAAGATTTGTGCTGGTATTGTTTTGACAACTGAATGCAGATGTCTTGTGCTCTGGGTGAATGATTTGTGGATGACAATGCACAATGTATTTAACATATATATATGTCTCTGAAATAAAATGGATTTGAAAAATAAAATCTGCAATTTGTTCATAGATAAAAAATACTACATACAATAAAAGTTCCAAGGAAAAGGATTATAAAGGCTGCAAAGCAGGCCTAGGACGGAGCCTCTCTGGCTTTTTGTTACAGGCAGCTGAGTTAGAAATACTACAGGCAGTCAGACAGGGCTAGGGCCTCAAAGGAGCCAGAGCAGAAGTTCAGACACCTTGCAGCCTTCAAAGAGACAAACACCTCCTGCTGTGGGCCAGATCTCAAGACAAAAGGCAAAGTAAATACACCCACATCCAAAGGATCCACAGTCCAAATAGTTCTCTATCACCCTGAGGAAGTCCCAGCATCCCAGCCCTCTACTGGGAGAGGCCCTGCTGTTAAGCCCACTTACTAAGTGACTGGCGGGCCCCATTTGCTCCTAATTTACTCAATTTTACCTGAGCAATTAATTTTACTGGTTGACCACAATTCTGTCCTGCCTTAAGCCCACCTGGTAGATTCCCATTTTTCCCTACCTTTGACTCATCTAACCTCATTATTTTATTCTATAAAAGTCCCTAGAAAAGACAGTATCTCTGGAAACCCACTCGGGACCCCTTCTGTCTCTGACAGAAGCTTTCTTTCTCTCAATAAATATATTCCACTCTTTACCTCCGCTGTACCTAAAATTCATTCTTTCATTTTAGAGAACATGAACTCATACTCAGCACATAGTAGGTCAGCAGTTTCATTCCCCTGTATCAGCTTCACCCAAAGGTAGAGAAGCTAAGCAAAAGTTACACAGCAAGGCCATGTTAGCTGACATGTAACAAGGGATGCGCAAACCTGTGAACACAATAAGAAGCTAGTTGCTTTTCAGCTTTTGCTTGAAGAGTTTCTCCGTAGACACTCATTTAGAATCTGTGTCTAGAGAAGGTGAGATTATCCTAAGGCAGTATGTTATCAGTCAATCAGCTCCAAATCAGAAGTCTCCTGAAAAAAAAATCTCCAACTGAGCCCACAAACCCACATAAGCCAAACTTATTCAGCGTTCAATAATCATGATGCAGTAGAGGACAAACAAGAACTGGATGAGGAATGGAAACAAGGAATTTTTTAAAAAGTAAAAATTACACATTAAAGAAAAACCTCATCCTCAGAACACTAGCCCAGTTTACTTTTCTCCTTCTCCCCAAACAGCAAATGTGGGCAAATCCCTGTCAGACTCAAAATGGGTCTGCCCATTTCTTCTTACTTGCAAATGGTTCTGTTTCACACATGAAAGGACCACCCTTTTGGAATTATACATAGGAAGAGACAATTATTTCGCTAGCCAATGGCCATCCTCTCCCACTCACTAAGACTAATCAAATTCCATTGATTTGCACCTTCCAAAACATAAAGGACATCAGCCCCCAACTGTATTGTCTGATCCTTTTCAGCATCTTTACTCCACTACTGAATGTGTCCTGTATTTATTTCTAATAAATCTTTCCCAAGCATATTTTCCTGACATATCCTGAAAGTTCTTTTTCTACAACAGGAATCAGTGAACCTGCATATTTTTTGTAAAGCGTTTTCAGCCTGGGGAATTCACATACCCAGTCTGTGGCAAAGCCATCAGGAAAATACTGCCTACCACAAGAAATCACCACCCTATTAAAGTTTTCTTTAAAATAGGTGGCTGGATTCAGTGATCCAGGATAAAACTCCAATCACCTCAGAAAAAGAAAGACCACAAACTTCATACACCTGTAAACCAATAGAAACCATCAAGTTTCTTTACAGGAGAGAAAACACCAACCACTCTGGTGAATTGCATGGATAAAATGGTTTGCCCCTCCAGAACCGACTGTGTGAACAGTCCCACTACTGTCTTGTCTATCACAGTTACTAAAATAATAGTTGTACCCGAGTCATACAAAGGCCAAGCCAAATAATGAGAGTACATTCTAGTTTATTAAAGAAAAAAATTAAAGTACCATAGCTGAACATGCAGCTCAGGTTTCTAACGCCAGCCATTAGGAGTCTGAAGCAGGAAGTTCACCATTAATACAGTGTGAATCTGTACTGCATAATAAGTGTCACTTGTGTTCCTCTGTGATACATGGTCTCAAAAAACAAAAACAAAAACTTTGTAGAAGGTATAACATGTAGAGGATAATGAGCAGAAATAAATTATTATGTTATATGCTCTACATTCTTCATGTTATATCCTTCATACAACTACATTTATAGCACCAAAATATCAACTACAAGTATGACAAAAGTTTTCTAGAATCTCTTTTGAAAAATCTCTTCTAAAAAATCAATGACAGCACTATAATTTTCAAATCTCAGTTAAAACAGTAAAGAGATTTCCCTTGAATTTCTTTGGACACAGGATAGCTAGTCATTTAATTCTGAGCATGAAACACCATATACAGACACAAAATTTATCAAAAATATCAAGCCATAACTTTTGAATTATTCTAAGCTGAGATTTGATATGGCTGGCAACACAAGTCAAGAGAAAGGTGATGGATCATCTACTTAAGGCAGTAAATTGTACATTTTAGAAGCTAAGTAAATCCGACTTTTTAGCATCACAAACATTAACAGGTGCTCTCCACACAGATATAAGAACAAACTACAAGTTAAGAAACTAAACTGCAGGAGAAGGTATCAGTTTGTGATCTGGCAGTGAAGAAAGTATCACATATAAATGTATAAAGTCATAAATATTCTATTGACTTTAAAAAGATGCAAAAGATGTCCTGTGAGGCTGTGCATTTTTCCCTTACATATTGGCCAACTGTTTTCCTCCTACAGTGAACAGTCTGTTCTTATTCAATACCTACTTGCTACTGAAATACAGTATTCTATTTCCTTGACGCGTAAGAAATTCAGTAAATATTAAATATATTAACCTTCTGTCAACTCTAGCTGTTGTAAATACTTTATTTTAGTTTAAAGGTATAAACTTTTCTATTTTTAACATGTAAAAATGCTTAAATGTAATCAAATATCATTATGAATTATTCCAATCCATAAAAAGATGCAAAACAGTAAAGGGACTTCTATGAAGCAAAGAAAATCCATGATGATATTAACTTGTAGATTAAAAAGCACAGAAAGTATTTTTAGTGGCAAAAGTCAAAATCCAGTAACTGGAAAAGATTTTATTTAAAAAAAAAAAGTATACTCATGGGAAATACACATAACATATAGGTCATTAGAATTAGGAATTATTGCTCACTGGTGGTGGTAGTGTGGATAGTCTGTGTTAGATTTTTACATGGACACACACTCTGCACTAGCAAATATGCTCCTGAGTATCTATGACATTTTTGCAAATCTGTTTCTAGGGCAGAAAAAGATAAGACCTGCTATATATTCATATCTTTAACAAAGCTGAAAAAACCTACTTTCCCATACCTTGGAAAAAGAAAATAAAGTGTCATGATCCATCCACATTTCTCTGAAGTATGGAATCACCAGTGGCTAAAAACCTTTGACCTAGCTGGTAAATTGAACACATAAATTCCTGAGTGATATTGGACACTTAAAAGATTAAAAAAGACCCCAAGAGCTACCATCTTTATCTTTGCACTACAAACCTAAGCCAAGGAACCCTACCCAAATAACTCCTACTCTGTACATGCACACTGTTTCTTCTTGTGAACCGCTATTTGCCTTTCTAATTGCCACTACAGTGAGAACCTACAAGTCTTCACTGCTTGGTGGTTCATATACACACGGTGTGAGAAGGCAGGTATACAAGCAAAGAGAGGCCAAGAACTGAAGCTCTGAGCATTACCTCATCTATGCCCTTCTTCAAAAGCCATTCCCATGGGCTTCTGCATGATATCAACATGAAACAGTTATCCATTGTATGAGAAATTCAAGAGAATTTGGGTGGGGAGCATTTCAGGGAGGGCAGCATTTAACCACACATAGAACCACAGAACATGTAACAAAGGCTCATTATCACTTCTTTCCCAGAAAGTAAAGTTACTGCAAAGCAAAACAGAGCCCCAACTCACCCAGGAAACTGCCTGACAGGTAAGTCCTGCATTTTCAAGGAAGGGAAAATAGGAAAAGGCGAGGAGAAAATCAAATATTATCACCATGGGCCTGGGATTTAGCTCAGTGGCATAAGCTGCTGCCTGGCAAGCTCTTAGCCAGAAGAGTTTGATCCCTTACATCAGACAAATAAACAAACAATGAACAAAAACCTTGCACCTGTGGTTAAGCAGGGAGCATGGTTCCCACTGTCAGCATCAATTCACTCTAGATATAGAAATCCTTTCTCATTAGCATTGTACATGGTTGATTTCTTATAACAAACTGTTCATTGACAATTTGTATTCTCCCTCCTTTTAAAGCTGAGGCAAGCCACACAGTATGACTAGTGTGATGCCCCTCTGTTATACAAAAGAAACAGCAAAATGTAAACAAATCAAACCAAACTGAGAAAATAAACTCAAATTTGTGCTCTTTTTTACAAACACTACTCATGTGTTACAGTTTAGTTTCTCCTGAAACCCTGATTCATACTGCGGTCAACACAGGAAGCCATCTCATCAGTTTCCCATTCTACAGACCATTTCACAGAATTCAATGGATGCTGCCTTATAAAGAGTTGACTAAATGCTGCTTGGGTTACCAAAGGAAAATACCCTGATCAATCCAAAGTCAGCTGAAAATAAGATATCAAAAGTGCTCTGAGCACGTCTAGTCTTACCAAACATTAAAATTAAGCCTTGGCTCCTTTAAAACAGCTCAACACACTTACAATGTATTTGAGAAAAACCTATGTAACACTTTCCAAGTTTCATGTTAAAATGATAAATATCTGTGGGCTTTATTGAACATGGTGCACTGGAAACCACTGTCTGTTTTCTCACAGTTTGTTGTTGCTGATAAGCTGCTTTCCACAACCTTGAGCAAGCATTTTAAGGACATCACTAGTGTACAAACAGCATGAAAGGCAACAATTGCGTTGCAATGTTGAATATTTATCGTTTTTTTAATATTCCAGCACTGGAGATTAAATTTAGGGCCTTATGCATGTTACACAAGTTCCTTTAGATCGAGACACAGCCCCAGTAGTTTTACATTATGTTATATTGGGTCTTGCTCCACTTTGCAGACTGCCCTTGGAAGAGTCATCCCCATGCCTCAGTGTCAAAATGGATGAGATACAAGTTGGGCACCACAATGTGTCCTTGAAATTTCATTTAACCAAAACATGTAATGCTGATTAACAGCGCCGTTTAAAAACAAATGAAAATGAAACCCAGTGGTGATAGACCACCCTCATTTTAGCCAGGCAAGGTGGGACATATCTGTCATCTCTGCACTCCAGAGGACCTGAAACAAGATCAAAAGTTCTCTGCAAGACAGGTAAAGTGGCGCAAGCCTGGAATCTCCAGTACTTGCGAGTGGCTAGACAGAAGATCACCTGAATTTGAGGCCAGACTGGACTACATACTAATTTCGAGCCAAGCCTGACCTTTATAACTAGACCGTTTCTCAAAAATAAAAAAATAAAAATAAAAAAGCAAAAAAGATTCAATGCTGCCTGGTAACTTACGACACGTGATCACAAATTATTAAATAGTGTGGGCAATCTGTTTAGAGCAACAGTCCTAAATTGAACGTTCTGTACCATGCAAACATCAGGGAATGAGATCAGGGAGCCGGCGCACCACAGCTTCCCCAGCTCATTCCTTCTCTTAACAAGGTCTCCACACATCTCCCATTCTCCATCTACAGTTGCTGACACAGCCGTACGCTGGGGCTGCCTGAGACAACACTCTAGGCTGGCAACATGGACACGGGAAAACAGGATGCTAATTACTCAAAATGCACCTACAGCCAGGGCAGGAGGGACCCACAGTACACAGCGCAGCAGACCAGGGACTCACACGGGAGCGGTCAGAGCGCTTCTAGCCGCCATTGCTCTTCCCACCTCTAGCATTCGCAGCAGAACCCCTTCCCCCTCCCCCCAACCACCCCAGCGCACCCATCCCATAACCTCACCGTTGTGTGGCTTGAGGGTCTCCCCATGGTCCTTCTCCTGCAGCCTGTAGCCTGCAGAAATCCTAAAGAAAACAACTCCAGTCAACTAGTCAGGATTCCCAGCAACGCGCTCAAGATCTGGACTTCCGCCCCGAGAAACAGAGCCCTCCTCCCTTTGCCCACTTGATTGGACAGTCCACGCAGCCCGCCCCTCGACACGGATTTGCTTCTGCTGCTTGACATTTCCTTTAATCTGAGACTGACAAGACATTTGAATCCCCTACCAGTGTAAATTGAGCTCCAATGGTAGGTTTTAACCCAGAGTTTTCCAGAACACTTTCTTATGCCAATCTGCACTAGCGTTTTTTGAGCAGTGCTTTCCCCAGGTTTTGCAGAGCCACCTCTCCCTTTTTATTTTTTTTTTTTTAATGACAGGGTGTCTGTATAATTTAGTCTGCTTTCTTTGTGTTGTCAGCTCTCTCTGATCCTCCTGCATCAGCTGCCCTAGGTCTGGAATTACTAGCATGCACCACTATCCCTGGCTCCTCCTGTTTTACTAGGCTAAGGGGATCCTTCCAGGATGTTGCCCCACAAAATGCGTTTACAGGTGTCCTAAGCCAGTTTCAGAGTTAAAATACCACGGAGAAATCACTGTGAGAGATATAATGAGTTCAGGCAAAGGCCAGACACAGGGAATAGAGAGAGGGCTTGATATCGTGAGAGGTAAAAGCTTGCAAATTAGGTAGTTTGCTTCATAGAAAACACTCTCACACTGGTATCTCAATTTACTCATTTCAATGAAAGTACATAAATATATGCCAGAAGGGGAATATAATCAATAAATGGGGGGCTGGGGATTTAGCTCAGCGGCATAAGCACCTGCCTTGCAAGCAGGGAGTCGTGAGTTCGATCCCCGGTACCGATAAAAAGGAAGAAGACAAATAATAATAATAATAATAATCCAATAAATGTATTTCATTGTGTTGAGGCAGAGCAACTTAAAGACTTCAGTATATCTGTTAGCTTCCTTTTCCTGCAGTTTTCTCTGCACAAGTTGAAACTCTCTGTCTTTCAACACATTACAAATTCCAGAAGAGACATTACCTGAAATCAGGTGATACTTTTAATTAATATCTTGCTAGGCATGAGAGGTGGGGAGAATATCAGTAGATTTGTTGTGTGTGCGGTTAAGTCATGGACATGTGACATTCCGACCATATCTTCTCCCTACCACTTTCTCCCTGGCACTTCTTTTATTCTGAGCTTCCCCGGTTCTCATATTCTAGTTGCCTTTCCTTTGTCATGTTCATGCTTTCAACTCAGATAATAACTGACTTCAGTCTCCAAAATACTGAGCTAATAATATATTTTATTCTTAAATTCTGGATGTCAGGTATTTAGTACCTAAACTAAGAAACTAATAAAATCCATAGGCATCTGGTCAAAATAATCTGCAAAATGTATCAAAACTTTCTTTAGAAGACTATACAAGTGAGTTTTCTCTGTGACTATCCTTCATTGATTTTTTTGCCTTTGAACATATTTCAGACTGACACCAGCAACACTTTGCATACAAAACAATTTTCCAGGGAAAACCTCATGGTAGCCAGTGAATTCCTCTGAAAGGACAAAAACTTCAATACCTTTTTCACGTATGCCACCCACTTTCCATATCATGACACCTGTGGCTGTCAACATTCCTTCTAGATCCATTCTGAGTAGATGGAAACAACACACCAAATAGGTCTGCAGCCCAGTGAGAGGCAAGCATAACACTGGTTTACCTAACTTAGCAACTGCTGGCTCATATTCTCATTGCTTCTTCAGACTTTTCCGTACTACTGGCCCTGCCTGCCCATCATGTGTGCCCCCATTGGATCTCGCTGGATCACTGGGTTTCTGCTTTGGCTAGGTGGTTATGTGCACCTGTCTGGGGTCTTTTGGGGTCACTGCAGTGCTTACATGGGCTGAGCCAGCTTGTGTGCTGTCCCCGCTGAATCCCTACTGATGTCTTGCTGGTTGTCTCTGTACCTCTCACTTTTGGTTGGGTAATTATCTGATTTTGGAATGGTTGCTTTCAGGAATGACTTTGGAAATAGTACGTCCTCTTCTATTTATTTAAAGAGTTGGAAGAATACTGGTATTAGATCATCTCTAAATTTCCCACACAATTCAGTAGTGAATCTTCCAGAAATTCAGTTTTTTTAAGTTGATAGCTTTGTTTTGAAGGACTTCTATCTAGAACATATACAGAATTTTTAAAAAATCAGACCCCTGAAATTCAAACACCCATATCAAAAATGAGCATGAATACACACACTTCACATATGAAGAAATATAAATAGCAAAGAAATATGTAAAAAAAATGTTCGTCATTAGTCATTCAAGAAATGAAAATTAAAACAACACTCTCCAGAAAGAATGGCTAGAATCAACAAATCAATCAATAAAAAATGCTGGAGGGCAGTGGGAATAAAGGAACAATCCTCCACTATTGGTGTAAGTGTAGACCAGTGCAACCACTGAGGAAATCAGTGCAGAGATTCCTCGAAAAACTAAGATTGGGGGGCCCATTCAAATCAGGTACTTACCTTCTGGATATTTTCCAAGAAGGATTTAAAACATCGAGTGAAGCAATATTTGTACAACCTATGTTTATAGAACCACAATTTGTAATAGCTAAATCTTGGAAACAAGCCAAATGACCAACAATTGAGGAATGACTAAAAAAGATGTGGTATTTTTATACAATGGAATACTACTCAACTATAAAGATAACTTAGTAGTTTTTAAAATTTCCTCTTTAATTTCATCTACTGATCATTATTAAGGATTTTTATATATTCTAAGTTCAGTTTTGATATTAAATGCATCTAGTAATCTAAACCTAACTGTATTCATATAGATGAATTTAAAAGTAATTTTACAAAAACTGTCTGAAGACCAATAAACAACCATGGTAATACTATTAAAGATATGTGGGGTTGTGAACATGGGTATGTAAAATAAATCTCAAACACTGATACATATGCTATGAGAAACACTGCAAAGTAGTATAATGGGTGCCGATGAATATTCATAGAATTAGTAAAATTAACAGGAAAAATGATGAGAAAGGAGAAAAGTAAACTGTAGAATGAAGTAAATTAATCACTGAAAAATTGAATGGGAGAAATCAATAAAGAAAAACAAGTGTAATAAAGAAAACTGGGGATGGAGTTCAGTACACGGCATTTCCATGGCAAGTTTAAGGTCCTGGCTTGCATCATCAGCCCCAAAAACAAACAAAATAAAATCAAAAAATGAAAAGGGATACAAAAAAGTGAGTGTTTTTCATGGCAAATGAGTTTATCATTTATAGTGTATCAAGAGACTATAGTCTCATTTTTTATGCTGGTACTATAATATATATTGTAGGCATTTTCTACTGCATCAGTTCTGTAAAAGAAAAGTAAGACAATACAACCAATTTCATTTAAAAACCTTTTTAGTAATGATTTACTATGAGGAGATCTGGTGTAGTGGTTGATTGTGTCAACTTGAGACATTTAGAAGCTTAACTAAGTGGGTTTAGCAACTCTACCCACTACAGTGTAGAAGACCCACTCTTGGGTGGCTCACCACTTGGAGGTTTAAAAGGGAAGGAGGAAAGATGAATGCATTCCATTCTTTGGAGAAGCTCCAGTCTTCAGCCTTTGATTTGGATGTCGTCTCCTGGCTCTTTAGCTTTTCGGCATAGACTCTTTAGCCTTACATTGTGGATCTCTTGGACTTGTGTCACAGACCCATCAGCCTGCTGATGTGGACTCATCGAACTCTGTGGCTGACTAGGGTAAGCCAATATTGTCATTTGTTATACCTCATGTTATATCAGTTTTGTTTTCTCTAGTAAAACCCTGACTAATACATGTCTTATGCCTTCTAAGAACATTTCATCATGAATTTACCATATTCTCTGGATGATGACTTGAAAACAGCATTTACTTGGATTTTCAGTAACTCGCACACACATATGGCATGTGTACATTATTTTTGATACCCTTTCTACCATGACTCAACTGTCTCTGCCTTCTGATGAACTTCTTAATATTATCTAAACCATTTACACTTGTCTTATCTACCATCTCTTAATTCATAGTTTAGATTTTCCATACACAATACCACATGATGGTGACATTTCTATCTCACATACTTTACATAAGATTATCGGCACAGAATCTATTCACTTTTTGTTAAGTGACATCATTTCATACTTGTCTATGGCTAAGTATTATTCCACGGTATATACACACCACATTTCTTTCAGTGATGGAGACTAAACCTACTTTTAGCATTCAGCTACATCTTAGGCTTATTTATTCTTTATTTTACCACACTGTTATCAAGCCTGTTTTCCCAGGCTGACCATCAGTGTATGTTTTTCCTATCACAGGTCCACATAGTGTTAAGACTGAGCACATGCAACATCAAGTTGAAGCTGCTCAGTTTCCTTAAGATACTCTTCTTTGTTTTTTTTTTATTTAAAGAAAAGGAAACGAAAAAAAAAATACATGGAGATAAAAAAAAAAGGGTAGAAATAATACAAAATTACAGACAAACAAAAGGTAAGAAATTGCCGGTTGATAAGTTACAAATTGTCATCTTCGAAATAGCTGTTCAGGTTATAGAATTAAAGTATTTAGAATGACATTCAAAAAAGTGACCCTACAAACCATTCTGCTCTATGATCGAACTAAAGCTCCGTAATATGATTATCAGTCCCACATATTTGTTTTACATCTCAAAGAGGGTAAGGTTAACCGAAGATACTCTTCTTTGAATGAGCATGTAGGATGTTTCCTGAGCATAAGTATTTTACATTATGCTCCTACAAAAATGGGCATGAGTGTATTAACATAATATGACTACTTTAGCATTGGGAAGAAGATACACAGGACAAATATAGCTGGATGAAACAGGTTCTATTCTGTTTTTTAAACTTTACGTCATCTCATTATACTGTCTGAGCTAGCTCTGACTCATAAGTAGCCCAGGCTGACCTATAAATTATGGCAGTACTTCTTCTCCACAGCCTGAGTACTAGGAAAGCAGGCATACACCACAATTCCAGGCAAAATGGAATTTCTCATTTTACTCTTTTCAAA